GCTGTCCCCCGCGGGTGACATGCACCAGGTGCTCCCCCACCTCCTGGGGGACAAACGAGATCCCTGCGGGGACAGGGACAGTGAGGGGACAGGGAATGTCACACGGGGACAGGGACATGGCACACGGGGACAGAGACATGGCACACACAGGGACACAGGGACACAGGGACACAGACACAGGGACATGGCACACACAGGGACACGGTACACACAGGGACAGGAACATGGCACACACAGGGATATGGCACACGGGGACAGAGACATGGCACACACAGGGACACAGGGACAGGGACACAGGGCAGCGGCTGTTCCCCACAGGTGACATGCACCAGGTGCTCCCCCACCTCCTGGGGGACAAACGAGATCCCTGCGGGGACAGGGAATGTCACACGGGGACAGAGACATGGCACACACAGGGACATGGTACACACAGGGACATGGTACACACAGGGACATGGCACACGGGGACAGGGACATGGCACACACAGGGACAGGGACACAGGGACACAGACACAGGGACATGGCACACACAGGGACAGGGACATGGCACACACAGGAACATGGCACACACAGGGACATGGCACACACAGGGACACAGGGACATATCACACACAGGGACAGGGACACAGGGACATGTCACACACAGGGACACAGGGACATGGCACACACAGGGACAGGGACACAGGGACACCAGCCAGGGATGGGGACATAGGACACAGGGACAGGGATAGTGACACAGGTTACAATGTCCCCAGTGTCCCAGTGATGTCCCCAGTGTCCCCAGTGTCCCAGTGATGTCCCCAGTGTCCCCTCACCCAGGTGGCCGTCCCACAGCCGTTTCAGCGAGCAGGGCTCCATGTCCCCAGTGTCCCCAGTGTCCCCAGTGATGTCCCCAGTGTCCCAGTGATGTCCCCAGTGTCCCCTCACCCAGGTGGCCGTCCCGCAGCCGTTTCAGCGAGCAGGGCTCCGTGTCCCCAGTGTCCCCAGTGTCCCCAATGTCCCCAGTGTCCCCAGTGTCCCCATTGGTGTCCCCAGTGTCCCCTCACCCAGGTGGCCGTCCCGCAGCCGTTTCAGTGAGCAGGGCTCCATGTCCCCAGTGTCCCCAGTGTCCCCAGTGTCCCCAATGTCCCCAGTGTCCCCATTGGTGTCCCCAGTGTCCCCAGTGTCCCCATTGGTGTCCCCAGTGTCCCCTCACCCAGGTGGCCGTCCCGCAGCCGTTTCAGCGAGCAGGGCTCCATGT